TGATCATAAGTACATTGTTCCGTCACAAAGTCACAATGCCTTACAATGTTTTCCCCTTTGCTTTTCATGAACACCCGGCCGAGTAAAGGTATAACTCTAAACACTAACTGTAGCGTGTCTGTAAATTATGTGGAATTGTTCAATTTGAGAGACCACAAAAGCGGGCGTTAACGGAGAGAAAAGTTATTTTTAATGTTAATTGTAGCAAATACTTTCAACAATTATCTCGCTCTAGCAAAAGGCATGATTGGATCTGATTTTAAACAATTGGGAAATGGAATGAATATAGATAGGTGCGTGTGGTGGAAGAGAGCTTGTCGGGGCTCAAAGCAAATCTTTTCATGCATCGATTCATTTATTTATTAACTCTTTAAACTGATCATACAAAGTTTACAGTGGATTAGTCTGTTTCATTAATTTAAAGGAGATGTACGCTTAATAGAAATTCAACCGGAGCAGGGATACAACAAAAACATGTGAAAGTTCAAGAAATATCGGGCAAGTAAATAAGAAATTTGTGAAACGTTGAAATGTAATTTCTTCAATCACAATTATAAGGAAATCTACCAGCTTCTAATCTTGCAGGGGTGGTGAGACAATACAAACGGGTGTCAAATGGGTACCCGGTAGGATGCGGCCGTCATTGCTGGTCAAACATCTTGTGAGCGTCAAGTAACGCCCGGCTGGAATGCTCCCCAGGGAGTGGAGATTGTGCACACAGTGTATGCGGGCAAGCACTGAATCCAATGACCGGGGTTGTAGTATATTTGTAAAGCGCTTAGGGACATTTGTATTAAGCGCAATATAAAAATTAAATATTATTATTATTAAACGAGGACTCATCAAAAAGGAGTACCCACAAAAGAGTGGATAAAGGTGCCCAATTAATCACCGGCTAGGACAATATCCCTCCCTTTTATTGATGCATTTAAAAATAAATTTGAGTTCTGGTCATGCGACTGTATTGTGAAAGAAACTGTGTGGAATCAATCAGAAAAGGTTGATCATCTAGCATATACAAGTATTGGTGTGTACTGCAAGGTTCCGGAATCATCAGAATGATAAGGAATTTGGCCCAGTCTTGGTAAAATTACAAACACTCTACACAGAAATATGTATATGGAACCACACAAAAATGTGGCATGAAAATCCGTCCCAACTGTTATGCTGCTACATGGCATATTTCGAATATTTAGGCGTTTGAAGAACCATGCTTTTCAGAGAACATTTTTTATCTGATGTTCTTCCACAGTTGAATAATAACAATAACGCTCACAAATTCTTTTTCACCTCTTCCCAGAACGCAACCTTCTATTTAAATAACTAGATTCTTTCTTCCTCTGAGTACACATTTCTGTTGCTACAAGCCCGTTTTAGATGTAATAAATCAATTCCAATAAATTACTCTGGTGTAAAATAAACTCGAGTGACCATTTCAAAGTACATTGGTATTTACTCTATAAATAGTTGACCCTCAAATGTTCGGCAGACTGTATCGATCACTGGGAACAATATACTAAATCAAGCATTGTAAGGTATATATTAATACAATGCCATATAACACCGCCCATGCTCAAACATTCCAGGTATTAAGTATGCTTTGTAACATTTATTCGACAGGTTATATTCTTAGCTTGTACCATTATTCAATAATTTCGTTGGATTATGGTAAATGTTAATTTTTTGTTATTAACAGAACTGAGGAATTTCATTAAAAGTGATTACAGAATGTGTCATGTCCTTAAATAGAAATGAACGAATTAAGAGCAAAGGCAGAAAGCAAATCCTATTATTTATGATATTAATGACGATAATCTAGACATGTTCAGACAAGATTTACTTTATTTTTAAAGAGCTAAAATATCTTTTTAAAAGGTTGCATAACATTGGATTGAACATGAAGATGGGATATAGAAAGCCCTATAACTTATTTTAAAATTCGTCTCTCAAAAGTAATTATTTTCTTTCTTCTTGATTCTTAGCCCATGAATAATGTTCTTTAAAACGTCATTTGTTCTGTTTCTGGTTCTAAGCACTTCCCTTGTATTCGTATTATAGGAACTTAAGCTTCAAAGATGTGTGATGATTGGTAAATCTTTTGAAATGATTCAAAGATAAACATAATAAATAAATTCTAGGGGGAGGATCATCGGAAAAAATAGTGTCGGAAAATGGAATGAAATATGGAAAAGAATTAGAATGCTGATCCAACTCCCACATTTAATAAAAACATGCCTAGTAATAAATTCACGATTGTATTCGAATTATAGAGTAATTAATTGGGTATTAAGACCAGCTTGGGGGGAGGGGGGCAGAGACCAAAGAGATACTGAGATGTTTAACCGAGAGAAAATACAAATATGAAATATCATGTGCAAATCTATTTTGTAGTCAAGAGACGCTGTGCTAGGAATTGGGTTATTTGAATCAGGATACAGAATTTTCTGAGGGGAAAATACCAAATCGACAAAACATAAAAATGGCACCGACTGATGCCTACATGTATAAAGACGAAAGTTCTTAATTCTAAAAGAGATGAGATACCGGTTCCCCTCCCCCCCCCCCCCACCCTTCGGTGTTAAAAAGAGAAAAAGATAATTTTATATGAAAAATACTCTCTTTTTTTCTACGTTAAAAAAAAAGAGTAAAAAGGTCTTATTATTTCAGTAGGAAAATGTTATATTCATGACATTAAGTAAATTGTCCTATTAAAAGGGCAAAAACAAAGGTCTTCGAAAAAGAATCAAACTCTAGATTCCGTTTCAATGTTTTCCTTATTAATAAGATGCCAGTGTTGGCTTGTATTAACTCGGAAACACAACATATAAAACAAAAAGAACGCGAATTGTTTCATTTGGTACCATATAGGAATTTCCTTACATGTATATATCAATAGTATTTTCAAATACTGATGAGAATAATCTTAATGAAATAATGTATGTATATTTTTGTAATTCTCTTCGAATTTGTGATTATATAAGCGCTAGGGTACGTACTTTTCGATTTTGTAAGTACCTGTAGTTTAATAATTGATGTATAGGAATCTATATCATCTACTCTTTAAATACGCATAATGCGATCGAAGATCTGACTTGTGTCCCACTATATATTTAGCATTTATACAATTTTAATTCCTATATTTTTTCTGTGTGTTTGCGAAACCATCTAGGCCTAGCTGAAAGAGAATAGTTTGAAGAAGAATTAGTATAATCGAATGCACCTGATATTAGATAATGCATTTTTAAGATAGGAGTGGGATAAAAGATTCAATCTTCAAGAATTAAGCAGGTCAAAAAAAAAATTCTCCGAAAGTTCAAAGAGAACAGAAAGTTTTAATGCATTACATTTTTGCAATTACTTTTTGATTGAAATTGGAAAGAAAACTTGGCGATGTATTCCCAGGGGTATGTTAAATGAATGATATATTTATAATAACTCTATCTCACTGGATATTTGACAAGTTCATACATGTACATGTTTATTCATGCGTTAATTGAATTGTAATCAAGCTGGCGGCGGATACCTCTGATATTTTTTGGGAAACTAACATTGTTTATGATACTGCTACCTACACTTATTTCTGTATTCTTTTTAGTTATTTAAAATCACATCTTTACACAGAGTAACCTGTTCAGCTAGGAAACAATTACACACAAACTATTTAAATGTAAGACATAGAATGCATGAACGATTATTATGATAAAAGTAAATGTACGAAACCCATATCTTCATGATATATGATATTGCTATAGCCCACTTTTGGAATCGGCTTGGCGCGTGCGACTTCCCATGCTTTTGGGAACGCACACACTTCTATAGATAAGTTAAGTATATACACAAATAAGTCAATTACAACAGGAATACAAACATATATGTCAAATTACTGACAGGCCTACCTATCTTGTTGTTAGATGAGAGCAAACTTGATCTCCTTTAAAACAAAATTTAGTGAAATGTGTGGCAAATTAAATGAACTACTTCCATTATCGGTGCTAATAACTATGAGAAGGCGTATTTATTTCAATGTCTTCCAAATCAGGGACAAATGTTTGAGCAAGTTCATTAATAGAATCAATAAAGTATTCGATGCGATATTCAGCAACAACGGGTGTTTGCTTTTATATATCTTTACCATTGACATAATTATAAAGAAATATTATTTGATACATGTCCTTGTGTGTAATGCATTTAAGGACACTTGTATTGTTCACTCCACATATTTCGTATGCTACTATGTTAGAAGTGTTTTGTTTTTCTAATTATTTAAACAAAATAGATTGGTAATGCATTACATCATCTGAGCAGCAGCGAAGCAAAGTGATTGGCCTTTCAGAGACTATCCTACACTGGGACTGATGGTATGATCAGACACCTTAACTGGCCATTGTTCGCAATTGCTTAGTTATGTTTTAAAAAATAGAACAAATCACCATGTTATGACAAATTATATATCGTGATTTGATATTTTAATAATTTGATATATCACATTGTGCTCTCATGCATATTTCCTTTCTAATGAGCAAACCTCCTTCCTCATCTTTGTCTCAACCCAACATGCAGCTCATCCTTTTGTATTATTTTCTGTCTCTCAGGTCTCTCACTTCTTTTTGTCTCGTGACCGTGTTCTCCTATCTTTGTCATGTTAAGTACTCTCTTGTCTCGTTTTCGTCTATGTGTGCATCCCCCTTTTCTCTATTTCTAGTTCCTTTTTGTAGTTACGAATTTTTAAATTAAATTACTCATTGTTCCTATTTGAGGGGTCCACAATTGTACAAACATTGCCTTTTAGTGGACCACTGTGTTTCCATTATGTATTCCTTAATTGTTGTAAATGATTATAATTGATTTGTAATGTTTTGTTGGAAACAGAAATAAAATTGAAAGAAACAAAATTGATAAAGTAGAAAGAGATGTGTGTTGTATTCTGCGGGGTGTTTGCTCACCACTTCACAGGGCTTCATGAATACCTTCAAAATATAAACGATTGATAGTTCACTTACCAAAAATTTGGGAAATCGCTTATTTCTGTCAAGGACCTGTTGTTCTGGATAACGTTGGAGTAAGTGGGCAATCTCTTGCTCTGCTGCTGATTGCACTGGATCCTGAGATTGGGTTAATCTATGAATGTTGAGACCAGTAACTATCTGTAGTAGAAACAGCATAGACACTGCAACAAATCCAACCTGTCCATACGACAGCATTGTGTTTTCTTCACCAACTTACAGGCACAGAAGTTGCGAATCTCCAACCCGTGATGCAGCGCAGAGACTTTCCCTGTCTGTACGCACCAGAAAGGGGGGAAGTTCGAGAAAAATTGTTTCTAATACCTTAATGCTTATATACAGTTCGGTATCTATTCAGTAAGAAAAATGTTAGCAAGCCGAAATTCCACTGTAGAGCTACCAGAAGCCACCGATATTATTTAGCTAAACCATCACACCAAATCAAAATGAGTCGTGTCAAAGAGAATGGAAGAAGAGGGAAAAGAGCCCTTTCTCGATCAAGCTTACCAATGTTCTGGGGGGAGAAGAGGGTGCGTTCAAGAGTTTTGACAAATTGGTGTTGAGCGGTGAGAGAATACGGTGTGGCGGGATGCTGATGTCGAAGGGGTTCTTGAAGTGAGGTGTTGGAATACTTATATGGATATCATCGACGGGGAGGAGCGAACTCAGCAAGATGAACGCTTCACTGGCTAAGTGTTGGTATGACGTCACTGTGATGATCTTGCAATTAACATACATCACCTACTACCGGTGTAAAACGAAGTTTTTCGTGATAACAAGGTTAGATATTGTAGAGATTGATTCCCCTATTTCTTAAAAAGGACGAATAAACACAGAACGGATTGAAACTATTGCGATCTACATAGATGTTCCGACATTGGCTCATCAGACATATTCTTTATATTCCTGGTTTCATTTCGTCGAAAAAGGGAGGGGCTAGGGCTAAGTCGGACTTTGAAGGCTAGGTTTAGGGTTAGAGTAGTAAAACGTATTAGGTCCGTGGTTGAAGTTGAGAGTGCAATAGATGTTTAAAGAAGTTGACTGTGGACTCGAGCGATTGTCGATGGAGCGTACAACCTCCGTAAAACCAGTACCACGTGCTATTTTACGTTGTACTTGACAAATAAACACAAAACCAGTTTCTGGAGTGACTTGCAATGAAGGATTAACAATTGTAATAGAAAATTTGCATTTACATTGCATTTGCTGCATATTCCTACTGTTGGAATGATCCTCTATATTTGTACGTATGAAATAACCGATCACGATACATTATCTTGACAGGAAAACAGTTGCAAATGTTTTGTTATACCATGGCTCCTCGCCAAAAATAACAGTGAACCTCATTGTTAAAGTGGAGATACAATTGCTAATTCTTTATTCAACTTATCTTAAGCTTTTCGTGTATATAGACAGTCTATTTTGGGCAATGGTAAGAGGGTTTAAGTAAAGGATCTATTTAAAACTTTTATTCATGGGTATTTAATGAACCTCTTGTATTAGAGAGAGCCACTCGAGTGCAGAATTAAAGCCAGCAGTAGTTGATAGTTATCGGGTTAGATAATTGGTGTAGTTAGTGACAATATTGATTGAGAGGGGAATGTATGTAATTGCCAACCACTATGTCCCCAACACCTTTTTACTTGTTGACAATGCAATTTCAAATTGTTTTCTTGGTCAGACTGAATTGTAAACTTACTCTCCCTTTACACCCTTGTTTGGCATAATTCCAACCATCCGTCCTGATCTCCTTTTTGATCAAACAGAATTGTTATAATCTTCTTTTACTGCTCTCTCTTTATTTTTACCCCACTCTCTCTCTCTCTCTCTCTCTCTCTCTCTCTCTCTCTCTCTCTCTCTTTCTTTCTCTCTTTTCTCTCTCTCTCTCTCTTTCTCCTCTCTCTCTCTCTCTCTCTCTCTCTCTCCGTCCCTCCCCGTTTCCCCTCTCTCTCTTCTTATCGTGTCATTTTAAGGAGCGACAAACCTTTCGGATTTAGCTTATTTTGCGGATTGATCACATTTTTATTTGGGCGTTACACCTTTGGTATCAACGGCCATGTTCATAGCAGTTAATAATAGTCCTTCAGTTGGTTTCTCAAGAGTCTTTGCAATTGTAACATTTCGCGATCCAAAAAAGACAACTTAATTCTGTCTACTTGAAATCGCCTTCCATGTCAAACCTTTGTTCTATACAATTGCCCTTAGGAGAGAGAGAGAGAGAGAGAGAGAGAGAGTGTGTGAAAATGATTTCCAACGAAATAAAACAATAATGGTAGTGCAAATTTCAAGGGTTAGTTTAGAGTTTCTAATGCTTAAGACGGCCATCTTGAAGTTTCTGAATCGTAACAATTTGACAACCCCGACATGGGCCTTAAGGCGGGCCCCTGGATCCCACGCACAAGAATCCAACGATACAAGCTCACAGTGCGATTTGCGCACACATATTTTGTTTTCGGCACCACCCGCTTTGGAAAATACTGGATCCGCCGCTGGTCATTTTACATAAAGGAGAAATTAATTGGGAGTCTATTCGACTCTACACCGTACTGCAATGACCACTCTGTTTACCTGGTAATTTTGAATAATGATTTTTGTATAAGTAATCTTAAGTAAATAAGTAAGCTTTAAAAAAAGACACAACATTTTCCTATTTTTTTCAAACTTTTAGCGACCTGTCTTTTTTTCAATGCTTAGAAACTCAGACACCATTTCCCATATACCATATTTTCATACTTATTGTTTTATGTTCAGTGTTTTGTTTTTCTAGTATCGACATTTCTAAGCTTTATTTCTAAAACATATAAATATATATATCAACAACAAACAGGGTACAAAATATAAAATACAAAATGGAAAATCTGTGGATTCTATTGCACAAGTAGGCTTACATTCGCATGCTATATATCAATTCGCTTTCTTGAGAAAGGTTTTGTGAATGTGCAAGGCCCGCGTAAATTTGCCGGTATCGTTTTCACGCTCTTTACTTAATGCTTCTCACACACTTCCTATAAAACAGACACTATGATACCAAAATTGTGTTAGACCAGTCCATTAGGAATATAGAAAATTGAAATTTTACACCAGTCTTAGCCCTCTGACACCAAGCGAGTCGACGACGGGCCCTTTTTGTTGGTTGGTTGGGTGGGGGGGGGGGGGGTGGGGGGGGGGGGGAAGTAAGACTGGAAAACAAATTCTTCTTTGCTTTCCATTTACATTGCAAGATAATCTATCAAAGCCTGATTCTACTTCCCTGTTCTAGTAGAATGTGTGCAATTTCTATTATTCTATTCCATCTCTTCTCATAGCGTTATTTTAAATTGCACTTTTCTCTAAATATTTCATCAAGCTTACTTGCAATTTTCACGTACCTTTTTTTTAAATTTCACAACCGTTGCCCACATAGATATAGATAATAATGAGCAGAAATAATATTCATGTATTCATAAATAATTCAAATTGCCTTTGATTCATCCACTTAAGCGTTCTATCGAAAATGAGAATTGAAATCGCTCTAATTTGAAGTTTTGAAGTAGGGTTAACAAAAGTATAGAATGAAATCAAATCAAGTATCTGTGAAACGCATGACTGAATGAACCGATACAAAGAGGGATTTGTTTTATTTATTTCATAAAATGAACGCTCATAAAGACATCGGCATTAAAATAGACTTTATTTAACTTAGCGTTTGTTTTCATTTTTATCTTGATATTAATAATGTTTTGAATCGCCATGCATTTTGGTTGTTAAATTGTATTGAAATATTATAAAGTCTGTAAATCTTTGCATTGCATTTGAATCAGAGACCAATGAGCACAAGACGCAGATGATGATACTAGAGAGAAAAGAGTGTGATTCATTTCAAACATCTCCCTCTCTATAATCAAAATCGAACGATCGAGAATTTTTTTTTTAAAGCTCCCGATCTCAAAGCCCACGTCAAAGTAGATCAAATAAGATGATACGACAGAGCAAGTTCTCCGAGAAACTGTTTCTTTTTTGTCTTCTTCTTTTTTGTTGGTTCGGACAACGTGTTATTTAGGAGGTTGATTTGGAAGGCCGAGTAGATGATGATGCGAAACTCTACCACCTCTTGAATACTAGTTGAGGAGGTGCTTCTTCTTGGGATCACTTCCCCTCTTCCAGCCGAGCGTTGGCTGTCTGAAGATCAGATTGCGAAAGTAGATACTTGCCAAACACTATTTTCTTTATGATCTTAATTGTTTTTTCATGACGTGATCAAGACATCACTCCTAAATTTGGAGACTTTTATCGAAAACCATCAAGATGCTTCTCTCCGTCTCCTTTCTACCTGGCCACCCCCTTTTCTCCTCACTCCCTGTATCGAACATGACAGACTGTATAAACTAAAGATTTAACGATTTTCTTACATGAAGGATGACGAACCAGCAGTTTGTTTTGTGATCAATTAGATATTCAAATTCGAGTTTGTCGGATCAATTCATGATTAATATCAATTTCGATTACCGAATCCATCAGATTCGCAAATACTTTGTCATTAAAAAAGGAATGAAATAGCTGATAGTGATCAAAGAACGGCAAGGTTTGTTTTTATTTTCTGAATCAGGTAGACAATTCTATTTCAGTTTTGTACAGAAATCCACCGGTTTTGCATGCGGAATGTTGCACTATAGGCAATTTTTTTTGGCACAGTTTTAGTTTCAATCAGTAATAAGAACAGCTTGTTTTCCTCTTAACTCAGCATAATCCATAAATATTCATCTGGATAAGGCAGGTCTTTTCTGAAGCATAAAAGAATTGACAAAGATGCTCTATCATCACCTGTTGAAACGTTGAATTGATTCAGAGTTCATCATGAGCAAAACTCATCATTTCATTTGATCCCTTTTGGATTGCCTTGCAGGCCACGGTTAAAGTGATGTATTTTCTGTTACGCTGTATACTGTAATTAAAATGAATATTAGTATTCATGAATAGGATTATTGTCGATACCTTGTCTCCTTTCCACGAATAACGATATCTTACATCTTCGAATTTAATGAGGAAGGCGTACAATTGCACGAGCATAAATTCATAGCACTGTGTAATATAGCTTTTATTGAATTATTGTATGCATCGCATGAATAATTTAGAGACAAGGGTCTACAGAGCAATGTGGGGGGGGGGCAATTAGACTCTTATATACGTAGGTCATGCATCAATGTGTGCATAATGATTAGCTAAGAATTGCATTTACATAGAAAAACATAATTTTTATATATATTTACAAAATTCAAATTAACAAAAGCACTCCTTTCGATAGGAACACATTCAAAATTTACATCATTTTTATTCATGATCATTGGTCCCTCAATGAACCGATGCACCCTTGAGTCAAAAAGCGTCATTGCATGCAATTTCTTGTGTCCAAGAAAATTTAAGTGAATGCGTGTCGCTTCTCATTCTCCCATATTAATTTATAAAGAGACTCTGGGTCATTCCTTTCAATATCTGTTTGTTTTTAGCATAAAATGGTGGCATTTTTACTTTCCAAAACTTTACAATGAACGTTTCATAATTATGCGGTTCTTAATGTTACCCAGAATTCTGCAAATATTGTAGACATAAACAACATTCCCTCCCCTAGGCCCCCACCCCCTCTATAGAAGATGGTGTTACCCCTAAAACAATGAATATGAAAAGATGGTATGCCTTTACTTCATTTTATCATCGGTGGTCACTGGCACAATTTTTTTTAAATTTTCACAAGTCAAATATAGAACTTCTG